GTGTGTGTGTGTGTGTGTGTAAAAAATTAAACAATCAGACTTAATCTACAAATGAAACAATCATTAAGATAGTGGTAGAAGAGCACAATGTCATTTCCATCTGAAAAATTGGACAGCACATTGTATGTGGCCCTAGCAATACTAGTGTTGCTGAATCAATGTCTTTTGGACAGAATAATTTATGGCATAGGGGCAGTTAGCCCATAATGCACTTGATACTGCTTTAGATACCTGCCCCTCATTTTTCTTTCTGTTCTAATTTCCTTCTATCAGCTGGCAATCAGGTCTCATTAATTTCTCATATCTTCAAAATTGAGACAAACACACTGATCATTATTTAAAATGCAAATAAAGCAGACAGATCAAGGTTTCCACCATGAAATAAACAGGTCCATATATTGAAGATCAAATTGCCAAGTTCACAGAAAGGCTGGCAGGCTTTTATGAAAAATCGGATACTTGATGTTGAGCAGTAAGAGGAACAAGCCTTTGCAAGCACTGACAACCATGTGGGAGCTCATGTTCTGTCCTTAGTCCACAGCCCTCAGGGGTACTTTGTGGGCATGTGCATGAGTTCAAAGAACTTTCTGGTAATTTTGTATTTCCATACTCCACCACCAATTTACATGTAAAGTCAAACCCCTTTTTACATAACCCGTTCCAAATTCTGAAGAGCATTAAATTTAGCGAGCTTCAACACTGTCGTCGCAAGAGTTTTGGAGGGCTGATACAAAAAAGTCCCCTATGAGCTGAGACTGTGCCCCTGTGGATAAGGGGCTGTTGAAACTACAACTGATGTCCTGCTATACTGTATCCTCTATAAGGATTCAAGGACCCGCCTTATAACTCTTTACCTGGTAAAACACTTGGGAAATTCTGTTTTTTATGTACAGTTGTTATCAGATCAGTATGATTTAACCTCCTCGAACATAGCTAAATTTTGTTATACTGCCTGTAAAATTGGGCAGACTTTGCTTATCCACTGACAAACCCACCACCA